CCCCCCCCCCCCCCCCAGTGAAAATTCCTTAAAAAAGGCACTGCAGAACAAATATTTATAACTGTGAATACTATGCACTGATTAATAAATGCAATATATTTTGTAGGGAACTGATGGTGTGAACCGCCATATTAAAGCGACAGTCTCACCTGCAATCTTTTTGTGTGGTAGGCCTACCTCTGTGTTTGATACTTTGGTTATATGTATGTTGTTGGGAAAGGAATAGTGCTGTGTGACACTTAACATGAACTCAAACTTTTAGACTGTCTAAATCTGTTACTTTTCGTCCAATACACGTACAATTTGGATTTATATAAAGTCCAGAAAAATGCAATGATATGTTTAGAGAAAGAGAGACATCAACCTTAAGTTTGCAATGAACTCTAATAACCAAATCCCTCTTAGTGTTACTCAAGTTTTTGCTCTGTTGGGTCAGTGTAGGATTAATGCATTCTCTTTACGCCTATGCTTGTATATAATTAGCATTTAGTGACGTATTAAATCCATTTTTTAAAAGGAGAGATTTGTCTGTTTAATTATGTCCCATCTTATTTTCTGCACTGAAGGCTAAGGTTTACACAAAACGATATTGAACGACGATTTATTGATTTGTGAATGTTAGAAATCATTTACATATCACATCGTCCCTAAATATCGTGATGATGTTTTTTATACTTTTTGAATAGCTGGAACGACCCTTTTGAATAGCTGAAACGACATTTTGAATAGCTGAAACCACCCTTTTGAATAGCTGAAACGACCCTTTCGAATAGCTGAATCGACCCTTTCGAATTGCTGAAACGACCCTTTTGAATAGCTGAAACGACCTTTTTGAATAGCTGAAACGACCCTTTCGAATAGCTGAAACGACCCTTTCCAAGGGTAACGTTCCTACCCTTTGAGGAGTTGAAACTACACTCTGAAAAGGGTAGAATCTACCCTTTCGAAGAGTAAGCGCCGAAGGGACTGAAACGACACTTTTGAAAGGGTAGTTCTGGGGTTTATATATATATATATATATATATATATATATATATATATATATATATATATATATATATATATATATATATATATATATATATATATATATTGATCAAAAACAGTACAGCATTAATAATTGTTGTTATTAGTTATTGAAGTTATGCAATAAAATATTTAATGGTTTGGGGTTGAAGTGCTCCCAAAGGTCACCTTCATGCCCATAGACTCATTCAATGTAAATATAATCGGCCGAGTTATAGGAACTGTCCAAGGGACCCTTACCCCTTGCCCCTTGGTTCAGGTTAATAAGGTCAGAGGGGGGTCGCTACCCTTCTGGCATGTGCTCTGGGGACCCTTACCCCCAGGGCAGCCCTATAGGGACCATTACCCTCGGGTTATCAGAGCGGGCCTTATATATACCCCGCAGGATGAAATATAACGCCATAAAGAGTCTATTGGGTTAAATATACATATAATGTGACACTTATTGTAACAGGAGAACTTCACCCCCATAACCTATTCTCCCACACAAAAGCTGTCTGTGTCTACTCTTAATTCTTAGCTCAGTTAGCTGGCTGGAGAGCAATTGTTCCATTAACTCATTACCTATGTTAGTGAACAATAACATTCATAGATCTGGTCTTTTTTACCGTCACATGAGACGTACTGTATTTTTGCCCGACTAACCAATAGCAATGTTTTAGGAAAGTTGCCTATCTTCGACTCAAATAATATGATAAATTGAAAATTGCGGTGAAAGAATATATTTATGAATAAACGTTGACTAACATAGATAATGAGTTATATTGCTATTCTAATGATTTCCAAACTGTATATACTATATTAATTAACTGACATTGGGGGAGCTCCACATGGAATACGTAAAAGAAGGCTGCAACACGCCTGTCAAAAATGCATGCAAAAGCACCAACATGCTTCAACTTCTGAAATTTTTATTCTGTTTCTACCAAATTTTCCATGAATATAGAACATATCGTTCTTACAAATCGTTTTTTTTCAACCAAACGTCAGATGCTTTGCTACGTCCCTGATGGTTGTATTCGAAACCGATTTCAGTTTAAGATATCCTTAGTCTGCTCTTCCAAAAACAAGAGAATGATATGTTCCTAAGAATGATATGTTCTGTGTTCATGGGATATTTAGTACAAACGGGATAAAAAGTAAAGAAATTGAAGCACTGGCGATTTTGCAACAGATGCCAGGTGATACGTTGGCAATTTCATTCAATACCGAATTCTGGGGGGGGGGCATTGAAAATTTTAAAAACTTGAAGGGGGGGCTCGCAATTTTCCAATAACCCTGCCAACAGGGCCCTGAATAAAATGTGTGTTTTTTCAAGAATTATTCTCCTCCCCCCCCCCCCCACCTCCCCTCGGCGTAATAAATGTACTTTCCCTAACTAATTTGTCGAAATGTCGAAGGCAAAGTGGCAGCTACGGAAAACCAGGGACTTTTTATCTGGGGAGCTCGAATCCCCCTCCAACACCCATGGTGTCCCCCCGCTCAACTATTTTGGTGTCGTTCAAATTATTTTTATAAAATACAACCAAAACCCTTCTAATTTTGTCAATTCGTCCCCGGTTGATGTGCAGCAGTCGCTTCATCAATAAGTGGCTACAACCTAATTTGTACTAAGTTCGCTATATAGCCAGTGACATTTTAGTGTCGTTGGACAAATACTCAAGTGTCCAGCGTTGTTCGATAATGATGGCACTAATGGATGAAAGCTCAACTATGAAGCTAAGTTAATTGTAGGTGCATCATAGCTCTTTGGCGTAACATGTGTCGCTCATCCCTTTATCGTCCTAATTAATGCAATGCGCAATACGAAATATTTTGTTCTGATTATTCAGTAAGCTTAGGTGACTAGCGGCAGACAGTAGCGGTTGAAGTGAACAAAAATACATCGTTAAAGTAGATCAAATTTAATCCCCGAGCCGACGGCGCGAAGCGCCGTGCGAGGGTACTAATTCCCCCCGGCTATTTACACCCGGGGAAATGAAAGCATTAGCGAAGTCTAAAGTTCATCAAATATCGCGGGCGTGACCAACGAACTTGAGTGGGTGGTCATCCCCACTGATCTCAAAAATATGGCTGATTGCTTGTGGGAGTGGGATAAGCAAGATTTCAATGTTAAAAGACATATATTTGGAAAATCGTTTACATACATACATACATACATGTATACATACACTTTATTTCAACACGGAAGAATCATCAGTACAAGAATAAAATACACAAATTTAAATATATACAATGTTAGTCAAAAGATAAAAATAATAATTACTGTTTTACACGATTGCCGTGCAAGAGTCCATATACTCAGTATACTATAGGAAATTAGTCAATTCGACTTTGAATGAATTGAGAGAAGGGGCTGATCTGAGCTGTTCTGACAAGCTGTTCCACAGGGAAGCACCACTGTAGCTGAAAGAACGTTTTAAATAGTCTGTTCGAGGTTTTGGAACAGACAATTTATTTAGAGAATTTCTCAGATCATAATTACTCACTTTGGGTGTAAATAACTGCTGCAAGTATTGAGGAGCACAATTATTATTAACTTTGTACATTAGGATAGCTTTTTGCTTCATGGTTTTTTTTTGTCAAAACACTCCATCCCAACTCAGAAAGTAGGGATGCTGACGAAACCTCATACGAGGACCTGGTCATTACCCTAGCTGCACGATTTTGCAGCTTTTGTAGTTTCTCACCCAGTTTTAAACCAATACCATCCCAAACTGGAGAGCAATAAGTAAAATAGGGCTCGACCAGGCCCCTGTATGCCTTCACAGCCGTTTCTCTATTGATGAAAGGTCTTACGCGCTTAAGAGCACTAAATACCGGACGAAATTTTTTTGGTAATATTATTGATATGGTTTTTCCAAGTTAAGTGCTCGTCGATTGTTAGACCTAATGACTTTGTAGATTGAACTTTTTTTATCTTTTCGTTCTCTACAAAGACATTTAAATCTTTGGTTTCACTGAAGGTTGCAAGTCTCTGACGGGAGCCAATGACCATAAGTTCGGTTTTGGCAATATTAAGACTTAATTTATTGGATTGTAGCCAGGTATTTAGATTGATCAATTCCGCATTTATTGCGTCTTCCAACTCAGAAAGATCATGGCTATGAAAAGTTATGTTAGTATCATCGGCATACATTCTTGCTAAACCGTCATTCATACAATTCGGCAAATCATTAATATAGACCAGAAACAAGAGAGGTCCAATTATTGACCCTTGCGGAACACCATAAGTATAAGAACGGCTACTGGATAGTGTATCATTCACGAAGCACCTTTGCTTACGATCAGACAGATAAGATTTAAACCAGCCTAGAGCACTGCAATCAACTCCATAGCATTTACAATAGTTTCATATACAACAAGCTTGAAGCAATTTTGTTTGAAGAAATGAGAAGATTTACTATGGGAAATCGTGAAATATACAGCAAGTTTGCTTTGAATTTTGTTGCTTTAACTTTTTGCCTAAAAACATAAACTGTTTTCCTTTTCAACGAAGTTCTAAGTTTCATAAATTACCGTAAGTTTAATTTGAACAAATTGATTTGAAGACTGAACTAAAATTACCTAACAATTTGTTTTGTGTGTAAAACAGTTTATCGGCAAATGTAGTTTAGTTGAATGAACATTTCAAAAATTTCACGAAGCGTTTCAAGTTGAGTCTGCGTTCAGTGTCGCCCATTTCTGAATACTTCATGTTAATTTAATGTTTGGAAAATATTGGCGAGGGGTTACTGCATGCTTGTATTTCTAGTTAATGTCTAGTTACCATATATGAGATTAGCCATTGATATTAATTCTAGATCTCACGCAGTAATATTATATAATTTGTCAGCGGTCAAGTGTAATCAGTGATATGCATAGGTTATTTTGAGGCAACGAGGGGATATGTGATTTATTTACCGAGGCGCACAAAAAAATGTACTTATTTTTCACATTGCGAGGTCACGTTAATGAGACAGAATAGAAATAATTCTTACTGCCATATTGCCTTCGTGATGTTGTTTTTTCTCATTTTTGGTGCTGCAAAGACATTGCAGGTGAATATTAGAGGGATTATTAGAGGAAAGTGATTAGAGGGGAATATTGAATATGTTCCCCGATAAGAACAAAAGAAACCGAGCAGGATGAAAAATAAGCACATTTAGCCATTGGTTGTCAGCAATTGGAGATTTAAATAAAAATTATTACAAACATGTAACGTACATTATTTAAAGCAAGTGTTTCGGAAGCATTTTATGTTGCTTTTTTTACTTTACATTTTCACCGACTACCCGACGAAGGGCCTTCGCTCGCTCGAAACGTAGAATTTCTGCTTGTATGTTTCAGGGAGTTGCCTCCCTACCAATAAAAGTTTCGTTATATATTTTTCTATTCGTTTTTTCTTTCTTAAAGTGGAGAAACGTTACTTTTATAAACTTCCGACATTTCATTTTATACATTTATTTACGTAGCCGATCGGAACGCGCAACAATTTTTCACTTATTCCCCGACAAGGTGCATTCATTTGTCTTTATACAGCGTTTATCTAAACCCATGCAAGGGAAAAAAATTAGCCAATCATCACATTATGATAAGCACTAGCTATAATTTTAACAATACATAATGTTAAATCTTTTACCTGTATAACAGCCATAAACTTCAAATCTCATGGATATATAACCATACCAAGTGATTGGTTGTATACGGATATAACGGGCAGTTATTGAAGGAGAAAAAGAATTTGTAACGATAGACTGATGGTCACTATTTCCACTGAATACCTGTTTAGGAAATAATACACAAAATTTAGTAATTTGAGCAAAATTTTAAGGTCTTTCCAGTTTTTTAGTAACTTATAGTCATCAAATTATGATTTGCTAAACAAAATATAATTACGTAACCTGCAAAGTAATTCTTTAAAACACTATGCTAAACTTCATAAGGACTATAACAGTGCTTTAATTTGATTGCTGGACCGACCAGACCAGAATTTCGTTTCCTACTTTAATGAAAAGGTCGCGTTCAGAGCTTTCGAAAATTAAGCCAAAACAGATTATACTGAAAATCATAAACATTCTCGTCTGTATTGATTAAGGTGGCTCCATACACTTTTCATCATCGGGAGACTGGTACCTAATCTTGAGTTTTCGCGCGAAAATATTACAAATATATGCAAAAATAAATACAACTTTTTCAGTCTAAAATCCGAACCACAAGTCATGTTTATTTTCATGTTTTGAGTCTTCCTTGTCCTTATTTGTTCTCAAAGAACAAACTTCGTCCTGATTTACCCCTGAACATATACATATGAATAACTAGTCTTTTTAGAAGACATTTTAAGATAAAAAATGCAACGTTCAACTTTCAAACTCTTGTGAAAAACCGCTGATCGGCCCGACGTGCGAAAAGGTTTTTACTCCAATATTTGGCGATTTATAAGTTCATATATATATATATCCAGAGTTTTTTGTACTTACAACTGGTAAATGTATTCAAAGTGTTACTAACAGCAAAGGAATTCAGTGAAACAGCGTCATGCTCTGGCTCAAACTGTTTTAAATTGTCAACAACAACATGAAAACACACGAATACAGAACTATGTAGAGAAGCCAAAAAGTTCATACATGTCACACATATCTTATACAAACGACACAATCACCTGTTTTCTTGGCGTTATCCCGAGTTAGCATGCAAAAGTCAATATATTTGCATTTCTAAGTAAGTAGAAAACGCAACACATATTTTATATTTCGAGGAGACTAAAAACTTTTTTGTGCGAGTTATTCTTGGGATACGCCTGCGAAAAGATGTACGCGCATGTCAATTCATTGATCTTGCAGAGCTCGAAAAACTCTCGGCCGAGTGAATGAGATACCACAATAAAACGGCGTAATTCCAAATTTTGCACGGTGACATGTGATGAAATTTTGCACAACAATAACTTCTTCTTTAACACAACAAACAGAATATCAAAATTTAAAAAATCTGTAGATTGGAAAACTCTAAATCGGCAATTTTTTATTCTGGCTATTCTAATCTACAGAATTTTTTTATTTTCAGGGATAAGACTCCGCATTATAAGTGAAGGCTATACAGCAATTAAAAATGGGGTGTCACCGGCAATATTCGGAAAATAAAGAAAAACCTGCTTAAAATAGCAAAAAAAACATATTTGGCGAGACTACTGTTACCGTGGAAACAATATTATGTTCAAGAATATTGCAAATTTTTTCTACCAAATACTTAATTTATACTTAAGAATGCTTAAAATTAATAGATAAAGTGATAAAATTTATAAATTGAAATTTTTACGCAATAAGGTATTTATACTACGGAACTGTAAGGAGCCACCTTAATATAAACAAGTATAGAACAAAAGTTATTCCGAATAAGGAGTGCATAATATTACCATTCAGTTCTATAAATTGTGTGTTTTAATGTTATGCACTCCTTATTCGGAATAATATTTCTTCTACATTTGCTGAAATTATCAGCCGGAAAAGGATAAACGAGCATGTTTACGACCTTAAGTGCAGAATTCCTTGTTTCCAGTTTTCGATCCGACCTGCATGACGGTGTAGATTAGTTGGCAGAGCATCATCTAGTAACTCGAAAGTCGCGGATTCGAAATCCGGCCGGTCTGGAAAATATGAAATATTTTACTCGATAACATTGTCTCCTTGCATGTACAGCGTTCAAAAACTCCAATTATTATTTCTAACCTTAACAACACCATCAATTTTGTAAGGCTCGAACGTATTTCCATTGGAACCATAAGACACAGAATAAGTCTCCACCCATTGGGGATAATCACCCCGACCTTGCGTACCAATCGATGTGACAACTTCTTCCCGGCCAAGATCAACTTGAATCCATTGACTCAGATTATTTTGACGGGCAGACCAGGATGTCGCGCTATTCAACCGTCCTTTTGTTGTTGATAAAGTTGGATCGTGAATACTTGAAGCAGTTATCTGGGAGTCCTGAATCCTTCCAGTCTGCATTCCAAATGGTGCTTCACCGAACGTGCACGGTCCTACACGTATTACAAATGCATTATAACTTCATGCCAATTATCGCCAAAATATAATGAATCTCCCAAAGCACATAACAGTGCGCTAGTTTTTCCCAAAACAACATGAAAGGACAGTGGCCAATGAAAGTAATAAAGGTTAATTAAGGTAAGGGAATTGGAGAAAAATATTGAATCCAAATGAGGATCCTGCTCGAGTACCAGAAAACAGTAGACTTCGACAATTAACATATACTTTGGAGGTGGACAGTGTTTTTCACGCAGTGGTCTCTCCGTGTACTTCCGGTTACTTTACAGACGAATTTGCATTTCTGCGAAACGCAAAGAAAGCCACAAAATTTTGTTTAGCATGCAGCAGTTTGTTGAAGTATTCTTTAAAACTAATTCTAGTGAATAAAATTAATAAACTTCCAATAACCCTTTTATTTACAACTATTGCGGTAGTTAATGTAATACAAATTCTTTATTTTCGTCGGTTTTTTTTGTTATTTTGTCTGGTTATGGTATATGGTAAAACTACAAGTATCCTTGCGCTATTTATGTATACTTTGGTGAATAATTGTTAATCATCTGACCGAGTAACGAGTCCTTGCTTTACTGCCGTCAGTATACTTCACGGGCCATCCCAAAGGGTTCAGATATCGTTATATATAAACAGGAATATATGCTTGTTGAGTTCCTTCTGTTTTAAGACAGCCCACGTTCTGATTTGCTTGTTTTTGTCAGGTACGTTTTCGTGCTTCTCCAAGGTATTATTAAATGAGGGTAATGGAGAGAGGAATGTGTACTATCACGTTGATCTGAGTTGCATAAGAATAAATTACCGAAAATTACCGTGGTTCCTGGTTGGGTAGGGCAATACAGTATTTAAGGCAAGCCAGGACACATTCAAATTTTGGGCGAGTTTGCCCTCTCTATTCAGTGACCATATTTAGTATAGTTATTTACTATTTATTTCGTTCGTTAATATTCTGCTTTCCTTGTCTCATTAAATTTTAGTTTGCATTGTTGCTAACGATGTTGAAGTATGGAAATGACTTTTTATGTACAATACATACCAACTTAACGCGAATAAAAAACTCGAAATAACTGATGGGTCGAAATTTCGAAGGCAAAGGGGACGCTGCGAAAAACCAGGGCCTTTTTTAATTATCTGGGGAGCCCGAAGCCCCCTCTAACACTCATGTTGTACCTCCCCTCGCCCCACCCCTCGCTCAAATATTTTGTGGTAGTTTAAATTACTATTTATAACATACATCTAAAACCCTTCAAAATTTGTCGATTCAACTCGTGCAATTTGACGTCCAGCAGTCGCTCCATCATTTTGTGGCTATATAACCTACTTTTTACTAAGTAGGTTATTTTTGGCATTTTAATTCGTCGTTGAACGGTTGGTAACAGCATATTGTATAGGCTTCTTAATTAAGTTCTTCACTAATACCTACTTGTTTCTGCTGTCTGACGAGAGGTGCTTGATGTAACAAGATCTTCAGGTTTCTAGAAAAAATATAATTAAACAATTTAAATTAAATTAAACAATATTTTATTTTAATGGTGGTCTTCCACCCTGATTTCATTTATGGCTAAAACAGCTGCAAATCAATCACCAGTACTTTGACTGGAAAGGGCCTGATAAAGTGAGCACAACAACATACTTTTTGAGCCATATGTTGCCATAGTAACCAAAATAATGACCCCCAACTGTGATTTTAGTCACCATTTTTTAAAAAGGATACAGAACCAAAGAAGGGCTAAAAAAACAAATAACTCTTATTCCTACATTCAGAAAAGGAACATCTAGGGGATGAACCTAGAAAACCTGGTAGCATTTGTTTTTTCCACCAAAAAAATAGGGCAAATCCATTTTTAGAGCACAGCGGGGTGCTTCAAATCCTGTTGTTTAATGATCTATTCACAAGATACATAATATTTTAGGTTCAGGAACAAGAAAGGATATCTATATTACCACATAGAAAATTTCAGGTCATTTCGTTAAATTGTTTTTGAATTATCCTTTTTAAAAGATTTCTGGATGACCGAAAATGCTATTTTGAGAAAACGACCGTTTAAGATAGCCTACAACATACATTGAATACAAATCACTAAATATACAGGTATTAAAACATTATTAAGTGAGTATATTTACTTTCAGTCAAAATGCACTCAGAGGCTATGTTTCTCCCTCTTCAGCTTTATCTTTGTCCCCTTTTTTCTTCTCCCCCCTCCCGTCGAAGTATCTTCATAAAACTCAGAATACCGTAGCTTGTTCGTTTCTACAGAGCGATTGAAAATACTTGCAGCATTTAATTAGACTTGCATTTTGGCAGATGATCTGCCTTTACAGCTGCTGTTTCCAATGTCTTTGGATGTGTGACACATTTTGCTGAGCGGCTCTCTGTCCAAAACTTTCCCGGTATCCATGGAAACTGTCGCGACACATTTAGGGTACTAAAACCCTCTCCTTTGCCAACTGCCACATCACACGACACTGCGCAATCAACAACTTCATTTGATGTCTTTTGTTTTATGTCATGAATTTCTTTGGCAGCATCTTCTATTGTTTTCTCACACACAGTCTTTGCACTTTCAGGTAGAGGTTTGTTGTGCAAGGAATAGGAAGGGGTCTTTGTGGTGGTGGCATGTTCAACAGCCGGTACAGCCCACAGAATCGTTTAGCTCCAGCACATCAGCAACGATAAATCTCATGGCATAAACCATCTGTCTGTTTATTTCATAGCAGATTTATTCTATTTCGAAGTATAGAATTTATTTTCCCATTTACACGAAGAACACCTCAAATTATTAAAGATAGGACCACCACATTCCATCCGGTTGTCATTATCCTCAAGAAATTCAAGGTTAAATTTTTGACAATTTGAACACGGTAGAAGCTCGAATATGTCTTTTAAAATTTCCATATTGACTAAACGAAAACCAGACACACTCTCCTTTATGGATTCCTTATGTTCAGTCGAAATCCTAGCAGAAATCTTTCGAGCGGAAGCAGAAGTATTTGCTTTGCTCGTCTCACCTTGATCAGAAACTCTAAGCTTTTTAACCATATTTTGAAACTGATTGCTAGACAATTTACGCTTTTTCGCATACCCAGATGATTTCTTATTCCCCATCGTTACATAATGAGAATAACTTCGATAAAAGAACAACTTTAGTTGCTTTGTAGACCACGATAGTTGTGAATTTCAAATGTGTTGATATAAACTCGTAAGTTTGCTCGCAGATAACTTGTGGTTTACATGGCCTATACTTCATGTAAATAGCTTATAGTTGGACAACAAATGTACCAACTAACTAGGGGAGGGGTAAGGAAGCCAATGCGATGCAAATATAACGCTATATAGCAAACCAATCAGATTTCATTCCGGACAACGACGCGTTGCTAAGGCGTTGCCAAGGAGAAAAATCTTACATATCCTTACGAAATCGCTAAAATGTTGTACTTCTACTTAAAGTTAGGGGGTGAACAATACATCAAACGAAAGCTCGTGAATTGGGGAATTCAAAAATGTATGTTTCAAAAATTTCCTAATTTCGACATTTTTTCCAAATATCAGGGTGGAAGACCACCTTTTTAATGCTGCTCAATGTCCATCCTCGCATTAAAAACCGTCATGCACAGTCTCCTTCGCAAGTCCTCATGCTTCGTGAGAAAGCTAAAATTTCTAGATAAACCAGAAAATACATGGATGCAGAAACCTTCGCCTTACTGATAAAACGTTATGTTTTCTGAATATGAAGAATTGAAAGTAGTTGTCGTGGTAACACGATAATTTTTACTTTTTATATTGAAAAATCCAACGAAAATATCATTTTTAATAACAAAATCATCAATTTCCCAAACATATATATGCTATAGGTATGTTATTATACGTAATATAATCTTCAATTTAATGTAAAATTCAACCGCAAACGCTGCGCATGACGTTTTAAAATGTTCTTAAAACTAAACGGCCTTTTATCGAATTACTGCGGTAAGCATTGAGTTTAAAATAAATTGATTTCAAATTCTCGCATGAAAATAACTTTGCGTTCCTCTTTATTTAAATACTTTAATATACAAAAGAAACGATAATTAATAAAACTACACTGAAATTATATGCTGTCTTTTTTCACTTATATACGCAATGTTATAGTATCAGTTCGATATTCGCAGTATCGCACCACTATATCAGTTATAAATATATCAATTATAAAACAAACAATACAGTACATCAATATTTAAAACAAACTAGTTACCTTCATTATATATAACGTCGGCAACTTTTCTTAATTCTTTTAGACGTTTTTATACGTTTTTTCACAGGGGGTCCAACTAAGAGCTGTGTTATGAATATGAATAAAACATTAATTAAAAGTAATATGAATAAAACATCATAACGTAATATATTTAAATTATTGCACTTACTTGTATAAATCATAAGAGCTGGTATTTGCAGTGAATAGCTTCAAACAGGGCGTTTATATATGCTCAGAAACATTCATCGAACGATTGTTCAAATATGGCGAATAAATTGACAAAACGAAAATATTACATGACGTTCCATCGAAAATAACAGCAGAGATTGCGGGCGTGAGCGGAAGGCGAGGGTAATAGATATTAATAGAAGGGATGAAACACCGGTAATGCGATCGTGTGATGTGTTCCATAAGTAGCCTGGTCTCTCGGAAAATTCAAAAACGCCTCCTGCCAAATCCAACAACGTCTACGCGCTTAATTTAATTAATGAAAGTAAACAATCTTTAGCTATACCGGCTGATATGAAATAATTAAATGTAGCGACCAACGGGTTTTTTTTACATTATTTAGTTTTATTATTATTTAGTCATTACGTCACGAGACCAGGCTACTTATGGAACACATCTCGCGAAAATGGCCAAGAATGCTCGCTGTTATAAATCACATAAATTAGATTGATCAGTGCTTTTTTGGTAATGACTAGGCTTGTTCATGTAAGAGAACATCGACTGAGCCTTGAAACACCCACAAAAGCCTTAAACGGATAGTCCAGAAGCATTTTAAAAAGTCACGTGATATTGATTTCATCCCTTTTATTTATTTCTTCCCTCGCTTTTTCGCTCGCGCGCCCGCAATCCTTGCTGTTATTTCGTTGGAACGTCATGTAATATTTTCGTTTTGTCAATTTATTCGCCATATTTGAACAATCGTTCGATGAATGTTTCTGAGCATATATAAGCGCCCTGTTTGAAGCTATTCACTCATTATGATTTATACAAGTAAGTGTAATAATTTAAATATATTACGTTATGATGTTTTATTCGTATTACGTTTAATTAATGTTTTATTCATATTCATAACACAGCTCTTAGTTGGACCCCCTGTGGTTTTTTGGCTCTCAGAAAGGTTTCGAAAATTTCCAATTTCGAAAATTTACAAATGACGAACTTTATCGCTAGTGCATGCGCTCCTGGCCCCGTGTGTAAATAGCCGGGCAGAATTAGTACCCTCGCATGGCGCTTCTCGCCGACGGCTCGGGGATTAGAATTTGGATATAGAACTTGAAAACAAAATAGCGTCATATAATCTTGCTTACACCATGATTAGCCCACGCCATAGTTGGATAGTACAAACAAATACATGTATTTGGAAAATCCAAACAAAAAATAACACAGGCCTAGTTAACTTAATTTTATTTCGAAAGCTGTTAGAAAATTGCTCCAGTTTTTGATATATAAACATATTCTGACAGTACTTACTCTTTCTGGTTGAAGTAGTTTGTAGTAATCAAAATTTTCATCGCTCTTTAAACTCCCTGGCGGTTCTTCTGAATCAACAGTTTTGAGTAACTCACAATTTCCTTCTCCTCCAGAAGTCGGAGTTTTTCTGAAGTTAGCAGATCTGCATGATTCATCTTCAAGCATACATTGTAAGATGCAATCCACTCCAGACTTTGCGTCAACATGTTTGATCACTCTAGTGTCCAAACGATAACCTTTTCAATGGTAAAATAAGTAATAGAAAGAAGGTGAATGATTTTGAAAATAACAAAGTAAAACAGTTTAAGTGTGGGTTGGTTATCTTTCGATATTTGGTCTAGGTCAGAGAGGAATTTATATTATTCGGTCGATCTTCAGGGGTGGATTCAGACCGTTGCAACCGTAGCATATGCTACGGTCAGATTTTCCCTGAGATATATTTTTCCAGGTTGTACCTTTTTTAAAGTTATTAAAAACTAAAACGTTATACTATTTTTAATTGCCGTTATTTTCAATTTTTTCATTGAAACTTGGTGCAATTTTTTTAAAATTTACTAAATCATATTGATACAATTTTATCGAGTTTTTATTTCATTTTGGATAATTAAATTCTGGTTTTTCTCAAATTTCCGCCCGAAATACTGCCTGTATTTGCAGGTTTTGCACTAGTACTATATCACATCGTTCTGAAGTCGTAGCATTTGCTTCATTGTGATTGGCTTGCTTCGTCTAACCGTAGCAAACCAATCATAGCGCTGTATTTAGAAATTTTTGCAGTGGTCAGATTGAAACTGACAGTTGCAAAACTTCGCAAATACGGCGTGCTGATTGGTTTGCTACGGTCAGACGAAGCAAGCCAATCAGAATGAGGCAAAATGCTACTGTTTGCAATAGTCGCATCGACTTCAGGGCGATGCTGGCTTGTTATTGTCGTGTCGGCTCCTCGTTGTAATCGAATAGTCGGTAAATTTTAATCGCCGCTCGTTCCAAGGAGAAAGATATGGCTTCTACAGGACTCCGGCCACGATTTTCTGTGTATAATGAACGAATGTAAACGTGTTTCATTTAACGAAAAGGTGCGCGAAAGAATTCTGATCGAAAGCTTTTGGTGTACGATTATTGGCATAATTTGCATTTCCCGCGATGTGAACTGTGAAGACAGCGCTGTTTGAATCACCTCCGTGTCAGGTCAGTCTCATGAATAGTATATTAAATATGTAAAAAACATATCGAATTTTACACAGTTCATGCTCTTCGAATATATTACCATATATTTGCTGATGAAACGTATTATTATAAAAATGCAGAACAATATCAATAGGTTCATCAATGGCCATGCACTCGCACTATTTGATAGCCATTGGCATGCCATGTGAAATATGTTAGTTAGATAGATAGATAGATATTTTATTTTTCCATTATACAGTTACAGTTTTGATAAAATATAAAGATACAATTCATATGGAAGGAAGACTAACAAGCCCGTCAGGGCTTTTCTAGTAGTCCACCCTAAAAAATTAAAAAAACAAACTAATATAACAAAGGAGAATAGTGTCAGATAATGTCAGGTTCAAGATATATGAGGTCCACTAATACAAATTAACTTTATAAAGTTATAAATTATTTTTATTTACATTTTTTGTGAGTACAACTAATAATCTTCAAAGAAGATATAATTTTAGATTGCACTTAAATATGTATTTACTATCGCTATTTTTAATGTATTCCGGCAACATATTCCACACTTTTTGTGGAATACAGTCCATAGTTTGTTTTATTGTAGTGTTTGTGTAATTTCATAGAGCCTCTGGTATTATGGCAATGAATAACATTGTTTTTTATGCAAAGTGAATCAAATTGAGGTGGTAGTGTATTTTTTACTGCGTCGAATGTGAATGAGCCAACTTGAAAAGCATTTATCTTATTAATATTTAGTATTTCTAGCGTTGAAAAAGGGTTGAAGATGAGAAAGTATAAGGCAAAAATGATATTATTTTCAGAATCTTTTTCTGTATCGTTGATACTGACTTTAATCTTGTTTTATAGTTGCTAGCCCATAGTATATTACCGTAATATAAATGTGGGTAAAGAAGAGTATGATATAGAGTTATGAGATGTTTTTTATTTAGGTAGTGACGAACTTTACAAAGAATGTTAGATACTTTTAATAATTTCTTAGTTATGTAATCAATATGACTTTTCCATGTTAAGTGTTCGTCAATTATAATATCAAGGAATTTAGTTTCTTTAGCATTTTGTATAATTTTATCATTAATCTTAAAGGTTAGATTTGCATTATGTTTTTTCCTGAATGATTTGAATATAATGTAGTTAGTCTTTTTAATATTTAAGGTAAGCTGATTATTCTTAAGCCATGTTTGCACAAGTATAAGTTCATGATTTATTTCTATTTCAAGTTGTTTCAGGTCTTTTCCTGAACGAAATAAATTGATGTCATCTGCAAACAATATAAACGAAAGATTACTAGAGCAATGTATATCATTGATATATAAAAGAAAAAGTAATGGGCCCAAAACTGTTCCTTGAGGAACTCCACATTTGATCGTTTTTTCAGTTGAGTAAGTTACATTATATTTAACTATCTGTTTTCTGTCAGTCAAGTAGTTTGCAAACCAATCATTGCATATACCTCTAATTTCATAATGATGAAGTTTAGTCAATAAGATTTTATGATTTACGGTGTCAAATGCTTTAGAAAGATCTAAGAAGATACCAACAGTATATTCCCCGTTTTCTATTGTAGTAGATATTTTGTCAACTAGATCAATCATTGCGAGACTTGTTGAGTATTTATTACGAAATCCATATTGTTTGTCATAGAGGATATCATGTTTAGTGATGTAGGATGTTAATCGTTTAAACATTATTTTTTCTAGTATTTTTCCAAAACTTGGTAAGACTGAGATAGGTCTATGATTCGTAAATTTGGTTTTGTCACCAGTCTTATAAATGGGTGTAACTAGCGACATTTTTAACTCACGAGGTATAATACCACGTGTGAAGGATAGATTGAAAACATGGCACAGTGGTATTGAAATATTATGGGAAATGTGTTTAATAAGTTTGGAACTTATTCCATCGATTCCGCAGCTGCTTTTAGATTTCATAGAGGCAATTATTTCTTCAATTTCTTTGTTTGAAGTGCTTTTTAGAAACATAGACTTTTGATAGTCACCTTGTAGGTGCTTGGTGAAATTGTTAGAATTCTGATCGAACTTCTTAGCTAAATTTGGTCCTACATTAACAAAAAATTCATTAAATCTATTCGCAATTGTGTTTGGATTGTTTATTTCCCTGCCATCTTCTAGAGAAAACCTAGAAGGTAGCTGTTTTCTCTCTCCTTTTTTGCAAATTAATTCATTTAGTATTTTCGATGTACTTTTCAAATCAGCTTTGGCATCATTTAACCGGTTTTGAAAATGCCTTTTCTTGGAGACTCTTATAAGATGGTTTAATTTATTTCAGAATATTTTATACTTCGTTCTATTAAATTCTGTTGGCTTGCAAAGAAATTTCCTGTATAGTTTAGTTTTCGTTTTCGTGGATTTTATTAGTCCATTAGTTATCCATGGTTTCTTAGGGCATATGTTGTCTTTTAATTTAATCACTTTTATTGGAAAATGTTTGTTAAAGATTCCTTGAAAGGACTTTTGAAACTCTTCATAAGATTTTTCAACGTCGGGTTTTGATAGTGTAGATGACCATGTTTGATTATTTAATTCATTAACAAAGGATTCTCGTGCTGCATCAGGCATTGGTCGAGTTTTACTTAGCTTAACACCGTTTTCAACTTGATTTTGGTTATAATCTAGACATATTTAGAATACTGGTAGGTGATCCGATAAATCGTTAAATAATATTCCACTAATTTGTTGTTGATAGCTAACTTGATTGCAAAATATATTGTCAATTAACGTTGCTGTATGTTCAGTTAATCTCGTTGGTTTAGTTATAAGGGGGAGAAACGCAGAGGATGTTAGTTGGTTGAAGAATCTGTTTGCAAAAGAACAGTTTTCATACTTGAGTAAATCAATGTTAAAATCTCCCATTAGATAGCAAGGCTTATTTTCTCTATCTACTTTCGATAGGATTTCACGTAAAGCTTTTTCAAATTCATCATATTTGCTATTGGGTGGTCGATAAATAATTCCAACTATAACATTAGGGCTATTATGGTTCAGGATTTCAATAAATAAAAATTCTACATTGTGTTTCCCGGTTGTTATACCATTGATATCATCGAGGATTTTAAATCCAATGTGATCTCTTATAAATGCGCAAATTCCGCCGCCAGATTTATCTGCTTTCCTGTTTAAGTAAATACTGCTATATCCTGGTATGTCATAGTTTATGTCAATGTTGTCTTTAAGCCAAGTTTCTGTAAGCGCTATTAGTGAAAATTTTAATTTCAGTATATTTAGAAAAGTTTGAAGAGAGTCGACTTTATTCTTTAAGCTTCTTATGTTTAGGTGCAGTAGTGATAAGTTATTTGAAGCTATATTTTTAGTTTCTATTAAGTTATTAAATGTATTGGTGGTATAATAAGAATTTTCAATTACCGGATTAATTGCAGATTCGTCAAGGTTTTCAGTTTCACTATTATTTAAACTTTTAAACGGATCAAATACTAAATTATTAATTCTGTCCATATCAATCTCTGATGTCGAGTTTTCAATAGTTTGTAAAAAATCAGGATTATTTAGGTTATTAAACGGAAAACAGGATTCCAAACATTGATGACATGCAAACGAATCATTATTTGATATCACATTTTTTAGGTCATTGATTCTAATCTTAGTGCATCCTGTTTTTGTGTGAAAAATGTTGCCACATATATAACATTTAATTGACTTATCAGTAATTTGCAAGTTGCACGTGTAGCAATATGTTTCTATCGTTTGATCATTATACAGTGTGTATCAAAATAATTCGAATCAAAATTTGACAGACTGCTGTTTATAAAATACTAAAGTAAACCATATAATTTTTATATGGCAATCAAGAATAGCCTATTAGGTTTCCGATTATATCGTTCTTATATCAATAAGATCAAAAATGACCAAGAAATCGTGTGTTAAAACTGGTTGCTCGAAATCAAATTTTTCCGCCAATGGGAATTCGAAGTGAGACGTACAAACAAAAGATAATGCAAATTTAATTAATCAACAAACTGTTATGTAGCAAA